AAGCCCTAGAATTGCTAGATCTGAATGCATGCATGGTAATTAGATCCTTGATAGAGATATAAGGACCATCACTCATGCATAGATTGAACATGCGCTCGAGAGAGGCTGTTCATTGCTTTGGGATTTCACCAAACCAAGGCTGAATCCTATTCTACTCAAATTGCCTAGAAAACTAGTTGCTGAATTTATTTTTCTATGCATCTTTAACTTGTCTCCTCACTTGCATACAAGGTGTTTGATCCAATGTGTTATAAATAGCTTTGTAGTTAGAATTTTAGATTTTCATTAGTTTTACATTTCGGCTGATCAGATAACAGTATACTGATTTATTACTAGTAGTTGCTACATAAGTCATCGTGAGAATGATACTCTACTCACTACTCTATTACTTGAGYGGCTAGTGCACTTGCTAGTGTCACAATGAGCCACACATAAAGTTTTTGGCACCGTTGCCGGGGACTTGTTGTATCAATATTAGGAACTATTAGCCACTGTTAATCTGATTTTCAATTCTGTGCATTATAGTTCAGATTAGTATGCATGAAACTCCATTGCTGATCTAGTTAGTTCTCTTTCCCATTGATGATCTACTTCATCTTCGATTGTTGATTTAGTCTTAGTAGTAGAGTTGCATTCTAGTTTGCATATTTCATAAAAATAGTGTGGATCAGATCTATATACATTAACTGTCATGGCTAAAATAATAATAAAAAAAAAAAATCAGATCTGAGCACACTGAAAAAAAAATGATTTCTGATCTTCATTGATGATTGTTGTTTTAGTCTCAGTAGTATAGTCCTGCATATTTCATAAAAGAATGTTCTTGTTTCAGTAGTGGAGTTGTGTTTTCTTTTGTTCTGTATACTTCATAAAAATTGTGTGGTTCAGATCTGCATACATTCACTATCATTGCTGACATCAGAATGCAGATTTGAGCCACACAGAAAAAAAAATAAAAAAATAAAAATTTCATTACTGATTTCTGTAACTGTTAGATGATTTCAGTTCTGTAAAATCTGCATATAGTATTCTTCATTACTGATATTACTACTCTATTTTTTTTTCTTTCTATTGCTGATTTGTTTGGTTTTGATTACTGTTTTAGTGCTGGTAGTATAGCTGGTTTTTGGGTCTATATAGCTCATAAAAACAGGGGAGTTCAGATCTGTACACAGTAAATTTCAGTACTAAAATAAAAAATTAGATCTGAGCACACCGAAAAAAAAGAGAGAGATTTTGTTCAGTAGTATAGTTGTATTACTTCTTTGTGTTCTATTTCATCTCAAAAGAAAAGAAAAAAAAAGAAAATTATCAATATATGGCTGAATGATGCATAGGCGGCTAGTACAGTTCTGATTGCATTAACTGTGATTTATAGAATTCAGACYTGAACTTATTGCTATAATTGCTTGCATATTTTGTGGTTCAGATCTGATCACACTGCTTATCACTTTTGCAATCRGATTTGAACACTTAATGAAGCATTTTTGTTCTAACTTGGTGCTTTCAATTTAGAGTTTCAGATCTGAAATCAGACCTGTATTCACCATGATTTCAGATCTGAAACCCACATCAATTCTCCTTGCTGAATTCTCATATCAGCCCTGATCATAGTAGATGGCAGCCATACAAGCTACTGAAATCTAAGATTGCAGATCTGAATGTGTAAAAACCATGCATAGCATCTGTACTCAATAAGAGTCGAGCTGGAGGAAATCCTCTACGACCCGGAGATTGAAAGAACACTCCGTGTCCGTCTAAGAGCAGCTAGACAAGTCCAACAAGAAGCTCAAGAAATGGCTGAGCAGAGGACTATGATGGATTATGCCAAACTCACACTCACTGGAGCTGCCTCCAGCATTATCAGGCCCAATATTGCTGCTGACAACTTTGAGATCAAACCGGCCATCATACAAATGATTCAAAACACGGTGCAATTCTATGGTTTGATCCACGAAGATCCCAATGCACACATTTTTAACTTTTTAGAAATATGTGACACCTTCAAACACAATGGGGTAAGTGATGATGCCATTAGGCTGAGGTTATTCCCATTTTCTTTGAAGGATAAAGCCAAAGCATGGCTGAATTCATTACCAACAAGATCAATAGCTACGTGGGATGAAATGGCCAGCCGCTTTCTCTCTAAATATTTTCCCCCTTCTAA